GGCCTTGGTCGAAACTTGACAGCGCCTGTTTGTTGGTGTTTCCGAGTAGGTGTATGTGAATTAAGTTGAATGTGTATTTGATAGGAGAAATATTCCGATTACTGTGCAAGGGTTTAGGGACATATCCATATATCTGGTTATGAATTAATAACACATAGGCATGACCCATGTAACGGGAAGGACTTCCTGTCCAATTTTATAATAATAACGACTTTATTTGAATTGCTCGATAAACAATTTGCGGGCACAGTTTGACATGCTGGAATAGAAACTATTTGTTTTTGTACAATGGAACTATTGAACAGTATGACGTATTGGTGTGCACAATATTCTGGACATAAGACCTTTTCTCAGATATATTGTTCTCACATGGGGAAAGAAACCGGGTTTTACGTCCTTTAGTGGCTATTAACTGACAGGGAAACGGGTATCTGTGGCTGGCTGTTGGAAGTATTGTCGCCATCGTAAGATCTTCATCTCCCCAATCTCTGGTTATTTCGTATCAACATATGACAAAACACGAAGCAGATACAAAACATATTTTAAAGACAGGGAAGAATGCATTATCGCATGAGATACCTTCGTTCCACTGACGACAGGTCAAGGCCTGTACCTCATTCGCATGCATCTTCTTCACGATCCACAGGAAGGTTGCGGTCAGTGTCGACGGCGAGGAGGATGCCAGCGACGACTAAGACAAAGACGGCAGTTAGAGTGATTCCCCAGGAAAACCCCAGGTAGAAGACGGTGAAATATAGCCTGCCTCTGATCCAGTAGAAAAGACAACCGGCCAAGAGAAAACCAGCTTGAAAAAGATTTACATAAGAATCAGAACATGCTATGGTTGGAATTTGGGTCAACTAATAGTGACTAACTGGTCATAATTCGATGATTTCTACTTATTTCTGGTTATAATTTCTTCATTCAAAATGGTGTTATTGATCGACAGTTGTTTAACGCCGCACTCGGTAATATTCCAGGTAAAGGTCAAATGTCTGCAAATCTTCAAGGCTTACAATCCAATGGCCGATATCATGAGCACATGTTAGGCAACTTACCCTTTTCCAAAAAGAAATTAGACAATAGTCAGGTAGAATGCTTATATTTAGAAACAATTACGTTTTTCAAACAGATATAATAGTAAGAATAGGTAAGTAAACTTCTTACATTTCACACAGTTCAGTAAGACACCAGTTCAAAAGTTCAATGAACAGCTTAATTTCTGAAGATTTCAGATGGGGAAGGTCATTAGCCCTGCAAGTTTTCTACCCAACAAAATCAATACACCATACTTCCCAAGCTTTTACATAAAGCTGTACTTGATGAAATAAACAGTACCTCCTATCCTGTTTCACCGATCCTATTTTTACCATGAGATCGTTATTGTCGCTACCCTTGCGATTTGGGAGCCACAAATCAATTCGACAACAACCTCCTAACAGGTCTGTAATGAATTAGGGTGAGGCGAATACGTTTTGTTTATACGTTTTCATCTTTCATTCATCCTTTGAGCTGGCCCCTAACTTGTCCTACCTGGCACAAACGCGAATACAATGACTGCAACCCGCATTGCCTTTTTCCCTGAACATTCTGCATCAAGCATTATGATGAATGCTAGTACGACATCGACCAAAGCAGTGATCAGTCCAACTGTTGCATCCACTTGTACTCTTATAAACCAGCCTTGGTCTGAAAGATAGTGCGAATAATAATGATACAATAATGCGGAGTCTGCCTGACAAAGACGTTGTAAACAAACTGTCTAGGACCTCCCCGGAAGACCCATGTTAACAAGATCTGTGAGGTACAGTGAACAATGTACAGTCAAACTGTGTGGGCCACCTTCAGTAGACCCATGTTAACCAGATCTGTGAGATACAGTGAACAATGTACATTCACACTGTGTGGGCCACCTCCAGTGGACCAATGTTAATCAGATCTGTGAGATACAGTGAACAATGTACAGTCCCACTGTGTGGGCCACCTTCAGTAGACCCATGTTAACCAGATCTGTGAGGTACAGTGAACAATGTACAGTCACACTGTGTGGGCCACCTTCAGTAGACCAATGTTAACCAGATCTGTGAGGTACAGTGAACAATGTACAGTCACACTGTGTGGGCCACCTTCAGTAGACCCATGTTAACCAGATCTGTGAGGTACAGTGAACAATGTACAGTCACACTGTGTGGGCCACCTTCAGTAGACCCATGTTAACCAGATCTGTGAGATACAGTGAACAATGTGAAGAATCCATCCACGAGAAGGAAAGCGATTTTTCTTTTCACATCGCCTTTTTGGTTATTTTTTCGGAATATTACACATTTCAGACATACCTGACAGTGGATCAGATGAAATTGAGACACATTCGCTCCCGGTACATCTCTGCCAGAGTCCTTCGTTTTGGCTATCTCTTGTACTCCACATTGGCGTCCCGAACCCCAGAAGAATAAGGATAAAGGCAAAAAGAAGCAAGAAAGCTGATGCCTTGACGTAGACCGTAGCCTTCCCGCAACATCCTACGTGTGTCATATCGGGAACTATCTGGGAAACAATTCCAGATCCGATTCTGAAGGAAATTCAGTTATACCCTTTTCAATACACGTCCTGGTATGGATTGGTTGCCATCTAGCTAAAATGCAAATGTAATGGTCACAGAAAGACCTTTTCTGGGTTATAATATAGTGTTGTCACGTGTTTATTTGTATTCTCGACGGAATGTCGCCTGAATTTAATACTGTCACGTATATTGTTGTCACATTAGGAACAAAATATTGTAGGTTCCTGGCGGCTATATATTTACCTTAACACCAAAATCTACATCACATGAATACACGCACAGAATATTGTGTCCATTTATTCGTTCATACAGAACGACTGCGTTGTGATTCAGCAGGATCTGAAACTTATTGTGCGCTGTTCTATATATATTCACTGGAGTTATAAGAAGGCTTTGAGGAAAAGAGGCGCTAACATGGACATGATCGGTATTGGTAGCATTATTTATATTTTCTTTTGTTTTACAGATTAAAATATAATGCACCAAAGCGAGGTTGGGTGGTTCTGGAACAGTCAGGCTGGTTTAGCTCATCATCAGATACCAAAACACGCCCGAGGTTTATCCTATATACAGTCATTCTGGAGGTGGTCTGCATTCATAAGTATGCATATTCCAAGTTTGTCACCGCAAAGACTCTATCTGATTGGCTGATGTAGCATTGTCAGCCATGTTCTGACGAATGCAGAGATACTGACCCAAGGTTCCTCGTTGAGTTTTCAGTCAGTGATTTATGAGCTGGGAAATAGCTTCTCAGTTAGATTGCAAACAAATAGAAAGTAGAAAATGAAATAAGATCCCAGATGATTGTATGAACCATGTCATTGTGTTATGTGTTTGCTGTTTTATAGATCGTTCATAATGTAACAGTAGGAAATAGGAAGAAAGTTTTGTCATTAACAGTTGTGCTACTCAAATATATAACTGTGATGAAGCCCTTTACGTGTTCTTACGATTCTGACTGTGATGAAAATGGGGTTCATTTGAAGCAAGGAATTGCATTGGACATAATTTTTGTAACTCTATTTTTGTACCATAAAACCTTCGGAAAATATTTATTTGTCTTTGAATGTTATTATTATATATTATTATAATAACGTATTAGCTTGATCATACAATTTGGCCCTGTAACAACACATTGCTGTGTAAGAGGTTTCTGTAGCGGTTTCAGAATCTCATCAATCGCTCACGGTCACGTTCTTTATGGCTATTTGATTGTTGGAGTGTTATATTCATCTTCCTTTTCATTATTGACCCCAGGGATTACAATGAAGGAACGAACAAGTGTGAATTGTTATAACGTTGAATGTACGACAAAGTGTTTTTGTCTTTGCACAATTCCCCCAATGTCTATTTCAACAAAAAACCATCGAATAACCTAAATGCAATTTTGTGGAAGTTTGGAGATTGGCATTAACATGGAATATTAAAGAGATTATATTATATTATCATGCTAAAGAAAGACATATTATTTTCTACTAATTAGTTTTCACTAGTCTTCGGTACCTAGCCAGTTTTACAAATCAAATGTTGTTATTTAAACAAAGGAAGGAAAGAAACGGTATATACTTGCCAGCACTGAAAGCGGGAAGAATGTAGTTATGTGACGCTGTGACTGAACGAGAGCAACATTTTGGTTTCTCTAAAAATTGGACTCTGTGAAATGAACTAAGAGAGATTTAATCTGAACACGTTTCATTCTATGACTTAGGAATATTTCGGTATGAAGATAATTCATACTCTTTGTGAATTTTGTAAATTAAAATCTTAATTTCTTTAGTGAAAATATATCAACTTTCACTGTTACCAGGTCTAATATCTTTTTAACACTGAACTTTTGTGTGAGTATCTCCTGTAGTTATGGTTTATCATGTAGCTGTCAAAACTGTACACTGTATCTTATTCAAGTTGTAAGCAGCCGCGGGCTAGGAGAGTGATTATCTCCCCAACCCAAATTGCATTTTTGCACAACTTTGCTATACATCTGCTCACCCATTACACTGCTATTTCAACGGATTGTTCAACATGAATAAATACCAGGCCACTATATACCATATATTCGTTAAATGAATCCCACACAACAATGAATATAATATGACCGTCTCTATAATCACATGAATGGTGGTACCTCTGCAAAGTTGAGCAGGGTATTATTTCAAGTCAACTGTATCACATGAATGGTCCATTCCGTTTAATGCTTTACAGTCCAATATGGGTTTTTTTAACATCCGACAGAGACTATATACCGGTCAATACTACCGAAAATCTCTTATTGGTCATCTTACCATGTCAGAAAGCTATGTTGCCCTGTTACTCGAAGGACGAATATCTCGGCCAGTTAAAATGTTTGAGTGACAGCTGCATTCTTTTCACCAAGAAGGGTTTTCGCCAAGTTGAACTGAAATAACGTTTGTCCAAACATGATCAGATATATACGTATAACAGTGTTCCTAAACTTAAATCAGGTAAATGTTCAAGTAACCAATAAATGACTTTTATCAGCACCTCAAGCAGAAACGTGAGCTTGCCCTCGAGTTGACACCTTGGGAAAAGGTAAGGATGTTTTAATGCATGTAGGGATGTACAAAGTGTATATTCTAAAGCACATGTACATGCATTGAAACGATATCCAGTGAGTCACAGGTAGAACGTACTATCAATGGAAACACTTACATTTCAAAGTATAAACAATGAAAAAGATTGACTGCATAATGATAACGACTTTCTGTTTGTTTTGAATTATTCGATGGGAATGGCGTTTACTACACAACTGAACAATTTGAGGACACAGTTGGACAATTTAGAATCGAAACGATCTGTTTTGTTCAATAGAACGGTGGGTCAGTATGACGCATTGATTGTACATTATTTCAGACATACGACCTCTGGCTCAGATAGACTGCACCCACTTGGGGAAAGGAAAGGTTTTACGTCTTAGGGTGGACATTCGTTGATAGGGGAGCGGATATCTGAGGCTGACTGTTGGAATTATGGAAAGATCTCCACCTCCCAAATCTCGTAGTTAGTTCGTATCAACAGATGACAAAACACGAAGCAGATACAGAAAATGTTTAAAAGACGGAGAGTATACTAAATGCCTTCTTTCCATTAACGTCGTGACAATGTCGTGACCTCATTCACATGCATCTGCTTTACGATCCACAGGAAGGTTGCGGTCAGTGTCGACGGCGAGGAGGACGCCAGCGACGACTAAGACAAAGACGGCAGCGAGAGTGATTCCCCAGGAGAACCCCAGATAGAAGACGGTGAAATATAAATCGCCTCGGATCCAGTAGACAAGACAACCGACCAAGAGAAATCCAGCTTCAAAAAGATTTTCAAAAAATCAGAACATGCTATAGTTAGAGTACACTCGGTTTATTGGTATTTGTCTTGAGTTTGGTCAACTAATGGTGACTAATTGGTCAAAATCCGATGATTTCTCCGTATTTGTGGTTATAATTTCTTCATTTAAAATGGTGTTATTCATTGAGTGTTGTTTTGAGTAATTACAAGTCCAGCTAATGATCCGACGCTTTCTACATATTTCTGTTTGAAATTTCTTCATTTAAAATGGTGATATTGATCGACAGTTGTTTAACACGACATATTCCAGGTATAGGGCGAAATTCTGCCATCCAGTGACCGAAATCGTGAGCACATGTTTTGCTGGAGACTTATGATACCATCTGCGAATGGTTGGGTAGAATATGTTTGGAAACAATAACATTTTAAACATGTACAAAAGTAAGAATAGCAAAGTAGAATTCTAAGGTACCAGTTCAAATGTTCGACGTAGGAAGAAGAGCCAAAGTTTTGAGATGGGGCAGGTAAATAGCCCTGCAAGTTATCCATCCGACCAAATAAACTCACCATAGTTCTCAAAGTTTTACATACTTGCTGAAATATTCAAATTAATGAAATAAGCAAACACTCCCATCCCGATTCACGATTCTACTTTTACCACGTTATTATCCCTGCCATAACGATTTGAGAGCAACAAATTAATTCGACCACAAACTCCTAACAAGGCTGTAATGGAAACCTTAACGGGACCAGCAACGCCAGGCATATGATGTGCGTTATCAATTGTCAAATATTTCCACGAGTCCCTGCAATTGTCGACAAATTCCAGAATATTGATTGTGTTGCATTAAAACGTGTGGAATACTGCTAAAATGTGTTTGTAATTCTTCATCACCATAGGCTTTGAATATTACAAGGAATTAAACATTTTTAGAATTCAATTTGGAATGGGTAGGAGGCGGGGGTGTATAGGGGGAGGCGATTATGTTTTAGTTTATACTTTTAATCTTTCATTGCCCCTAACTTGTCCTACCTGGCAGTTTTTGAGTATTACAAGGAATTGTACAGTTACAGAATTAAGTTGAGAGGGGAGTGAGGTGCGGCGAGGATGTTTTGGATAATACCATTATAATTTGGGATTAAAATACTCTTTCACTGAACCTTTGAACTGGCCCCTAACGTGCCCTACCTGGTATAAAGGCAAATACGATGGATGCAACCCGCATTGCCTTTTTGCCTGAACATTCTGCATCAAACATTATGATGAAAGTTAGTATGACATCGATCAAAGTGGTGATCAATCCAATCGTTGCATCCACTTGCACGATTATAAACCAGGCTTGGTCTGAAAGATACAGGGAACAAAATTATAATAGTATGGTGTGTACCTCCTAATAGACTGTATGGTCACAATCTAAAAGATGTGTGAGGCTTCACCAGTAGACCCATTTCAAACAGATCTGTGAGATACAATGAACAATGTACAGTCACAATGTGTGGACCACCACCAGTAAACCCATGTTAAACAGATCTGTGACATACAGTGAACAATGTACAGTCACACTGTGTGGACCATCCCCAGTGGACCCATGTTAACCAGATCTGTGACATACAGTGAACAGCGTACAGTCACAGTGTGTGGACCATCCCCAGATGACCCATGTTAACCAGATCTGTGACATACAGTGAACAATGTACAGTCACACTGTGTGGACCATCCCCAAATGACCCATGTTAACCAGATCTGTGAGATACAGTGAACAATGTACAGTCACACTGTGTGGACCACCACCAGTAGACCCTTGTTAACCAGATCTGTGAGATACAGTGAACAATGTACAGTCACACTGTGTGAACCATCCCCAAATGACCCATGTTAACCAGATCTGTGAGATACATTTAACAATGTACAGTCACAGTGTGTGGACCACCACCAGTAGACCCATGTTAACCAGATCTGTGAGATGAAGCGAACAATGTACAGTCACACTGTGTGGACCACCACCAGTAGACCCATGTTAACCACATCTGTGAGATACAGTGAACAATGTACAGTCACAGTGTGTGGACCATCCCCAAATGACCCATGTTAACCATATCTGTGAGATACATTTAACAATGTACAGTCACAGTGTGTGGACCATCCCCAAATGACCCATGTTAACCAGATCTGTGAGATACATTTAACAATGTACAGTCACAGTGTGTGGACCACCACCAGTAGACCCATGTTAACCAGATCTGTGAGATGAAGCGAACAATGTACAGTCACACTGTGTGGACCACCACCAGTAGACCCATGTTAACCAGATCTGTGAGATACAGTGAACAATGTACAGTCACAGTGTGTGGACCATCCCCAGATGACCCATGTTAACCAGATCTGTGACATACAGTGAACAATGTACAGTCACACTGTGTGGACCATCCCCTGTAGACCCATGTTAACCAGATCTGTGACATACAGTGAACAATGTACAGTCACAGAGTGTGGACCATCCCCAGTAGACCCATGTTAACCAGATCTGTGACATACAGTGAACAATGTACAGTCACACTGTGTGAACCATCCCCAAATGACCCATGTTAACCAGATCTGTGAGATACAGTGAACAATGTACAGTCACACTGTGTGGACCACCACCAGTAGACCCTTGTTAACCAGATCTGTGAGATACAGTGAACAATGTACAGTCACACTGTGTGAACCATCCCCAAATGACCCATGTTAACAAGATCTGTGAGATACATTTAACAATGTACAGTCACAGTGTGTGGACCACCACCAGTAGACCCATGTTAACCAGATCTGTGAGATGAAGCAAACAATGTACAGTCACACTGTGTGGGCCTTCCAGAGTATACCCATGTTAACCGGATCTGTGAGATACAGTGAACATTGTATATGTACAGTCACACTGTGTGGGCCTTCCCCAGTAGACCCATGTTAACCAGATCTGTGAGATACAGTGAACAATGTACAGTCACACTGTGTGGGTCACCTTCAGTAGACCCATGTTAACCAGATCTGTGAGATACAGTGAACAATGTACAGTCACACTGCGTGGGCCACCCGCAGTAGATGTATGCATACCAGATTTGAGAGATGCACTAAATAATCGACAGGTACATGGTGTTTCTCTGTACAGGCATTGAACACTAGTTGTCTTCCTAGAAATTGATCATAATGTAAAACTGTTGCTTGAGTATATGTCAAAGGCTGGAATATGGTGTTTTCATAAGAAATAAATGGCTTATACATGTATTCATTTTCATCAACAGTGAACAATGTACAGTCACACTGTGTGGGCCTTTCCCAGAAGACCCAAGTTAACCACATCTGTGAGATACAGTGAACAATGTACAGTCACACTGTGTGGGCCTTTCCCAGATTACCCAAGTTAACCACATCTGTGAGATACAGTGAACAATGTACAGTCACACTGTGTGGGCCTTTCCCAGAAGACCCAAGTTAACCAGATCTGTGAGATACAGTGAACAATGTACAGTCACACAGTGTGGGCCTTTCCCAGAAGACCCAAGTTAACCAGATCTGTGAGATACAGTGAACAATGTACAGTCACACTGTGTGGGTCACCTCCAGTAGACCCAAGTTAACCACATCTGTGAGATACAGTGAACAATGTACAGTCACACTGTGTGGGCCTTTCCCAGATTACCCAAGTTAACCACATCTGTGAGATACAGTGAACAATGTACAGTCACACTGTGTGGGCCTTTCCCAGAAGACCCAAGTTAACCAGATCTGTGAGATACAGTGAACAATGTACAGTCACACTGTGTGGGCCTTTCCCAGAAGACCCAAGTTAACCAGATCTGTGAGATACAGTGAACAATGTACAGTCACACTGTGTGGGCCTTTCCCAGAAGACCCAAGTTAACCAGATCTGTGAGATACAGTGAACAATGTACAGTCACACTGTGTGGGCCTTTCCCAGACGACACAAGTTAACCACATCTGTGAGATACAGTGAACAATGTACAGTCTCACTTTGTGGGCCTTTCCCAGAATACCCAAGTTAACCACATCTGTGAGATACAGTGAACAATGTACAGTCACACTGTGTGGGCCTTTCCCAGAAGACCCAAGTTAACCAGATCTGTGAGATACAGTGAACAATGTACAGTCACACAGTGTGGGCCTTTCCCAGAAGACCCAAGTTAACCAGATCTGTGAGATACAGTGAACAATGTACAGTCACACTGTGTGGGTCACCTCCAGTAGACCCAAGTTAACCACATCTGTGAGATACAGTGAACAATGTACAGTCACACTGTGTGGGCCTTTCCCAGATTACCCAAGTTAACCACATCTGTGAGATACAGTGAACAATGTACAGTCACACTGTGTGGGCCTTTCCCAGAAGACCCAAGTTAACCAGATCTGTGAGATACAGTGAACAATGTACAGTCACACTGTGTGGGCCTTTCCCAGAAGACCCAAGTTAACCAGATCTGTGAGATACAGTGAACAATGTACAGTCACACTGTGTGGGCCTTTCCCAGACGACACAAGTTAACCACATCTGTGAGATACAGTGAACAATGTACAGTCTCACTTTGTGGGCCTTTCCCAGAATACCCAAGTTAACCATATCTGTGAGATACAGTGAACAATGTACAGTCACCACACTGTGTGGGCCTTTCCCAGAATACCCAAGTTAACCAGATCTGTGAGATACAGTGAACAATGTACAATCACACTGTGTGGGCCACCCCCAGTAGACCCATGTTAACCGGATCTGTGAGATACAGTGAACAATGTACAGTCACACTGTGTGGGCCTTTCCCAGAAGACCCAAGTTAACCAGATCTGTGAGATACAGTGAACAATGTACAGTCACACTGTGTGGGCCACCCCCAGTAGACCCATGTTAACCAGATCTGTGAGATACAGTGAACAATGTACAGTCACACTGTGTGGGTCTCCTCCAGTAGACCCATGTTAACCAGATCTGTGAGATACAGTGAGCAATGTACAGTCACCCTGTGTGGGCCACCTCCAGTAGACCCATGTTAACCAGATCTGTGAGATACAGTGAACAATGTACAGTCACACTGTGTCGCCTTCCTCAGTAGACCCATTTTAACCGGATCTGTGAGATACAGTGAACATTGCATATGTACAGTCACACTGTGCGGACCTTTCCCAGAAGACCCAAGTTAACCAGATTTGTAAGATACAGTGAACAATGTACAGTCACACTGTGTCGCCTTCCCCAGTAGACCCATGTTAACCGGATTTTTGAGATACAGTGAACATTGCATATGTACAGTCACACTGTGCAGGCCTTTCCCAGAAGACCCAAGTTAACCAGATCTGTGAGATACTTCACCTTTTCGGTTAAGACATTTCAGACATACCTGACAGCGGATCAGATGAAATTGAGATGCATTCGCTTCCGGTGCATCTCTGCCAGAGCCCTTCGTTCTGGCTATCTCTTTTACTCCATAGCGGCGTCCCGAACCCCAGAAGAATAAGGATAAAGGCAAAAAGAAGCAAGAAAGCTGATGCCTTGACGTAGACCGTAGCCTTCCCGCAACATCCTACGTGTGTCATATCGGGCGCTGTCTGGGAAACAATTCCAGATCCGATTCCAAAGGAAATTCAGTTATACCCTTTTAAATACACATCAACTGCGATTTTGATTGGTTGGCATTTTGTTAAAATGCCAATTTAATGGTCACATGGTGAGTATTTTTGCATTATTCAGTTTTGCACGTGCTTTGGGTAATAGTGTTATGATATAGTATTTTCACGTGCTTGTATTGAGTGTGCATAAATATATGTATACCTCGACGGAATGAGGTTTTTCTATCGCCTGAATATAATACTGTCACGTTTATCGTTGTCACATTAGGAACGAATTATTGTAGGTGTTTGGCGACTATATTTTATCTTTACACCAAAATGTACATTGTATGAATATCTGCGTAGAATAATGTGTCCAGTTTTCCGTTCATACAGCACAATATTCAGCAGGATCTGAAACTTAATGTGCTCTGTTCCATTTACTGGAGTTATAAGAGGGCACTGTGGAAAAGAGGCGCTATTAAACTGAATTTATCATCATTGGTAGTATTATGAATATTTGTATTTTGTACTGATTAACATGAAATGCAACAGAGAGAGGATGTGTGGTTCTGGACAAGTCATGCTCCGTAGGCTCTGCATCAGATACCAAAACACTATATATGGGCTTTATGGAATCTGTCTCTAACCTCCAACCCCAAGTACCTATGGTCTGACCTTGGCCAATAGCGCCTCGACTAAGTGGACTGACTGAACCTCAACATTTTATCTTTCTACGTTTATGAAGATAAATCTTGCATTTGTCGCGCCCGACAGGCGTAGCATTGACATTGGAAATCGACTCGATAAGGAGAATCTGTTTTTCAGTGTAGAATGCAGGGGCGGATACAGCTTTTGGAAAAAAGGACGTGTGTGTGTGTGTGCGTGCGTGCGTGCGTGCAAGCGTGCGTGTGTGTGTGTTCATTTTAACCCGTTTTCACGAGAGTTTCAGTGGTAATTTAATAAACTCTGTTTGGTAAAAAGCTTTAATTATTACTTTTTCATCAAAGTGCTTTGAATGAATGTTGCATCAATTGAAACCGGATATAAGGCCAGTAATTTTATTGAGGAAAAATGTATCGAAAACATGCAGCGGTACTATAACCTTTATAACTTTTACTTGATTCAGAAGCTCCATAAATATCAAAGAAAGATATACCGCCGGGACCAGCAAATATTAACCTTAATTCTCAATACTGCACCAGACAATACAGTGATCAACAGCATGGGCATCGATCTACGCAATTGGGATACGATGACATGTCCGTGAGCCAGACCACCCGATCCCGTTAGTCGCCTCTTATGACAATCATGGGTTACTGAAGACGAATTCTAGCCCGTATGTTCACACGTATACGGCATAAATAATACTAAATACATAATGAATCATTTAAATGGTTTCCTAACATCAACCGTCCAATACATTTTGGCATTATATTTATTCAAACACGCTACCATTGTACGCCCGTTTTTTAATAAATATAGATACTGGAGATAAACCGAGTCCAGTCATTACCAGGGACCTCCTTATCTTTCTCACAAAGAACATGAATACATGTACTGCAAAACACTGACATTTGTGGAAAAGGAACATTTAAACAAAGTTGGTTGCGATCCTATTTGTGCATGGCTTCTTTTGTTTCGTACAACATAATGTCATGTATGTCATAACTGTGACAAGTTAACGGACTGAGAACTCCAGGCCATTACAATACATAAACGCTAATTCTTTAACGTACAAAAATGTTGTGATATCATAATTTGATTACACCGTATCTGGGACTAGGCAACACTTGTTAATCTGCTTCAGGAAATACCAATACTTGTTATATTGTTCCGAACTGTCATGTGTCAGCAGTGAGTTTCACTTATACGCCAAAGTTGGTTGGTTGGTTTGTTGTTTAACGCCGCACTCAGCAATATTCCGGCCATATGGCAGCGGTCTGTAAATAATCGAGTATGCACCAGACAATCCAGTGATCAACAACATGAGCATCGATCTAGTGAGTGATTGAGTTTCGTTTTACACCACTTTTAGCGAATATGAATATGATCCGGGCATATTTAGATATTGATCAAAGAACAAACGGGAAGAACTTTCTATCCAATAGAAAGACTTACTATTGAAAATTTATATAAAGACAAATATACTCGTAGAAACGAACAAGGGAACACGTGAATGTACACGTTTTATATTTCAAGAATTTCACTCACAGCGCAATACATACCTTGTGAAGAAACCTGGAAAAGAATAATGGAACACTTGTACTTTCATGTGTTCCCTTATTCGTTTCCATGAGTAAATGTACTGTATAATGATCACGGCTTTCTGTTTGTTTTAATGTGGTCAATGGGAAAGGCATTTACTATACAAACAAAACATGTGTGGACACAGGTGAACATTTTGGGACAATGGGTCCGTACGGCGGATTGATTGTACAGTATTTCAGAAGATGAACATGGAAAACGTGATAGTGCAGCTTGGAACTTCTGCACTGTTATCTTAGAGAGGTACCACTCCAAACTTATTTGCGCTTTAACACATTTGTACTAGAAACATTTGTTTTATAAAGTCAGTGATTCAAACCATGTCTGCACATAAATATCCTTAAGTCTTTGAGTCAGTCACATGATAAAATTAGGGTAGCAACTAACGTTTTGGTCGTACCATGCGTTATCAAAACCAGTTTTAAACAGCAATGCTTTTATATTCGTTGCCCAATTATTTGTTTCCATTATTGTCATAAACTATCATCATATTGTAACACATTTTGGGAAATCTATGTGCAGGCATGTTCAACAATCTTAACTAGTATGTGATAGCCTTAACTTGAGAAAATATATACATTGGGAATCTACCATATTCCCCATAGGCCGTAACACTAGGTGTATTTATCTTAACGCCAAGAAATCTTTTACAGACATATAATTGAACTTTATCTATCACATTGAAATGTTGTAAGCCCTAGATTTCAGATCCATATAGTAGTATTGGGCTTATTTTAACATCAAATATTTTAATAAGCGGCTTAAATGAAACATTTCCCCAAACCTTTAACTGCTTATGGATACACATAAAACCTTCTGAGCTGGTATGACTGCCTGTTTAGTGAGTCTGTTCCATGACCGGGTTTTCGTGAAGTAAACACCTGAATATTTATAGAACGATTTCTAAAAGTTCTCTTTTGAAAACATTTTTTATACCCGATATTTTCCCACCTATATAATAAACTACAACTTTCGTTTTATCTTTGTTTACACTTAGTTTCCAATTATCACAATAATTCTCTAATTCATCAATTTGTCTCTGTAGACCACTAACAGTATATTACGATAACAACTGCAAATAAAGGCAAAAACATCTGCGTAATATCATGAGACTAGCTGTGCCATGATTGCAATTTTCATGAATTTGAGTTGCTACTTCATTTATGAAGAAACTAAACAGAATAGGATTTAAAATACAGCCCTGACTTACTCCTAACTGGCTTGTAAAACATCGTTATTATTTCTTACACATACCTTTACATTTTCTTAAATACAAAACAGTAGCCAATGAAAGATCTTCACCTCCCCAAATATTGTAGTTATCTCGTATCAACGGATGACAGAACATAAAGCAGATGCAAAAAATGTTTAATAGATAGTGTACATAATCAAATTATATTATTATACCTTCGTTCCATTGACGTCGTGACAACTTCGTGACCTTGACATTGTAAAGTCAAGACCTGTACCTCATGTATACGCAGCTGTTTCAGCATACACGGGACTGTTGCGGTCAATGTCGACGGCGAGGAGGATGCCAGCGACGATCAAGACAAAGACGGCAGTGAGCGTGATTCCCCAGGAAAACCCCAGGTAGAAGACGGCGAAATATAGCCTGCCTCTGATATAGTAGACAAGACAACCGACCAAGAGAAAGCCAGCTGTAAAACATTTACAAAAGAATTAGAACAAGCAATATTGCTATTTTGTTCTTAGTTTCGAATTCGTCTTTAGAAGTCTGTCCACAGCAAACATTCCCGTCATGTTTTACCGCTTCTATGTTTTTACCCACATCGCTATTATCGATGCCAGGACGATTTGAGAGCAACAGATTAATTCGGACACACGCTCCTAACTGGTCTGGTAATGGAAACAACGCCAGACATGTACTGTTAGGTGTTTTCATTAAATACATCATTTTCCTCCTGCATTTGTCAGTTATTGTCTGAACATTCCAGAATATTGTTCATGTTGCATTTGAAGTACTACTAAAATATGTTAAAGGTCACATGCAATGTAAAACACAACTTTGCAGATTTTGATACCTTTCGGTATGGACTTACAGATACATATCATCAAAAATGCAAATTCAACTTATAAAGTTGAAAAATAACGCGATGAAAAAAACCCCGCGAAATCGGAGTTCAAACGATTCGCTAAACTCACCCCAGCTTGGGGTGAAAAGTGGTTTCAACAGCTGTGCTGCGCTGGGCTGCGGAGCTTGGAAGCGGGATGTCCGGATTATAATGTGGTGAGCAGGAGTAGTCTAATCAAAACAAATAGTAAATAATCTACTCGTTACATAAAAGAACCTTGTTAGGATCTAGATCTACTCAGCTATGTGTCAACCAGTGACGGAAACGGAATTCCTTCGCTGGCGGTGAGTACTCGGTGAAGGCTTTAATGTGAGCTATTTTTCTAATGTTTTGTTGATATTTCACAGGCGCGAGCTTTTTATATGTTATGACAGTAGATTACCGATTAAACTGTGTATATTAATTTCATTTGTCTATTTCACAACACGTTCTTCTTACTTGGTCACTTTCTCAGTTCGATACTTAAAAGCAATGTCATTATTTAGCATTGACAGAATTTCTAACTGTGATATAGATATGTCTTTGTCACAGACAAAACTCAATGTCTGTTTTATTGACACATATGTATCTGCCTGCCTGTCTGCTAATGACAATATGCAATACACAACTTTGATCACTGACCACATGCAATTTGAACTTAACACCTATCAGGCTATACACCATAAACAAAACGCATTGATTTATGGCTCGTGCACCCGAGTTCTGTCTCTGTCACATTATGTAATTACACAGACAGGCACGTGTGATACTAGTACACATGACATGTTATGATGTCTGTTGATTGCAAAATATTATACACAAAAAATGAGCATGTATTTACAAAACCCAACATCTATATATACACACACAATGACCCGTGAGGGCATCGGCAAATGAACCATCCAATGAAAGGCTTCGTTACACTTGAGTGCACACCCACCCGCTCTGACTGGGTTCGGTATCCCGGGTGCTTCGTTTCGAGGTAAGTAAACCCTAGTACAAAATATGCATACGTGATAATTGTGTTTTAATTATGTTTTTGATTTTTTGGTTGCATGTGACCTTTAACTTAGTAAATCTTCATCACTGCAGATTTTGAATATTCAAGGAATTCAACACTGAACCTAACTCACCCTACCTGGTACAAAAGCGAGTATGACGGCTGCAATCCGGATTGCCTTTTGGCCTGAACATACTGCGTCATACATTATGATGAAAGTTAGTATGACGCCGAGTATAGCAAGCATCAATCCAATCGTCACACCCACTTGCACGAATACAAACCAGCCTTGGCCTGAAAGAGGGAATACTAATGTACCTTCACAATCTTCAAAACCCAAAGAACAATATACAGTAACAACGTGTGGACAGAAGACACATGTGAACCAGATCTGTGAGTTTCCATTCGACATACCTCCCAGTGGATCAGATGAAATTGAGACGCATTCGCTCCCGGTACATCTCTCCCAGAGCCCTTCGATCTGGTCATCTCTTGTACTCCACATTGGCGTCTCGAACCCCAGAAGAATAAGGATAAAGGCAAAAAGAAGCAAGAAAGCTGATGCCTTGACGTAGATCGTCGCCTTCCCGCAACATCCTACCAGTGTCATATCGCGGATCGGGAGCTATCTAGGGCATAACAACAGATCCGATTGCTGAAGGAAGTTTACGTCAGTTATGCCCCTCGGTAATACTCATCAACAGCGGCTTTGACTGTTTGTCTACTTTCTAAAATGCACATTTAATGGTTAGATGATGAGCTTTTTGTGTTATTCAGTTTTGCACGTGCTTCGGGTAATAATGTTATGACAAGTTTGTCTCATGCTTGTATTGTATACAATACCTTATATCCGTGAATATAATACCGTCACGTCTAACGTAGTCACATAAGGAACGGAATATTGTAGGTGCTTGTCGACCATATATTTACCGCAACACCAAATGTACATTATATGAATACGTGTACACTAGTGTGGCAAGATCAGGCAGACCGACGATTTGATATCGTCAGTTGAAATAGAGGAGACAAATGAGTCTGCCTCATGTGTTTCATGTTTAGATCTATTCATAAAGAATCAGTATGACAAAGAAAAACTCTCCTAAAGGCTTACTACGAAAGGGAAGATTTCAACTTTATGTCGTTGATTTTCCCTTCATGTTGAGCAATACTCCCAAACGCTCTAGCCTTTGGTGTTTATGTTTCACAACTTTTGATGTACAATCGAGCATGCAAGATTTCAAAGTTCGTCATACGACTCTTGCACAGAAGTTTTGTCATCAAGGTTACATTATTCAAGGCCTTCAAAGCTTTCAAAAGGTTTTATGGTAGACATGTGAAGGACATTTCAAAATTTAAGGCATCAGTGAAAAACATGATGTCCGGTGCAATTAACTATTTTGACTTGTACCACGCTCTGATATGGCTATGAATGTACAACAAACTCTGTCTCTGTAATGGAAATGTCTCTTTATTTACATTGTGAAACTAAGTGATTTTCAGCTTCATGATTTTTACTTAAATAGGTTGTATCTTATATTGAAAGAGATCCGAAAAGCATAATTGATAAAACACAATATAATATTTGACGGAACGCATATTATACTGACTGACTGACTGAGTTTTGGTTTTACGACGCTTTTAGCAATATTCCAGCAACATCACGGCGGGGGACACCAGAAATGGGCTTCACACATTGTACCCATGTGGGGATTCGAACCCGGGTCTTCGGCGTGACGAGCCAACGCCTTAACCACTAGGCTACCCCGCCGCCCCGCATATTATGCAACAACACGTGTGGATGTTTGGCTCAACGCATATGTGAATAATATTCAAGAAAGTAAAGATGTATTTCGAATTCAAGTCCCAATTACCACGAGGAAAGATGTATGTAAATAGAAGCGACAAACCCCTTTCAACACACATAAGAAATCTCTGCTCAAACAGAGGTGATTGTACAGTTCTGAC